AGAAAGGTGCCTTACACAATGAATAACTGGAGCTACACACCAGCCACACTTTTCCAGCTGCCTGCCTCCCTCTGTTGTATACCAGGGTACTGGGGCTGCTATTTTGTGGCGTTTAATTCCCAGGGTCACTTGCCCAACTATAGCCAAGCTGCAGAGTGCAGAGGACAATAGGAAAGATATGATGGGGCCAGATGAGCTTTATCACACAGAACATGGCAGATTTTGTCAGTCAGAGCACAGTGGCACATTTAAAGAGACACACATTTGCTGCTGGCCCCCAAGGAGCTCCAAATTCAGCAGGAGCTGAGACCTCCCCCTACAAGCAAAGGCAGCATCTTCAGCTTCCCGCCAAGTTTCCATTGGCACACTTAATAGCTAACTGGGGAAAGAAAAATACAACCCACCCCTCCTTTGCTGAAAGACTGCCAGTCCTGGAATAAGGAAGATTGTAGGTTTAGACAGAGGATCAGATGGGAATTCATGTAGAAAAGAGATCTCAGAAGAATAAATGTTCTTTCTACACGTGCCCCTTCCTCCTTATATTAAAGCTTTGCAATGTGTCATTGTAGAAGACTTGGGAGAAGGAAGAGGTTACTCCTACATCTTCCTGAGTCCCTCACTCCATCAAAACCTTTACCTATGACAGCCCTCCCCCAGTCTCAGTTTTTGTCATTGAAACTCCAGTCCCAGGCTTGTCACATCTACTGGTTCGGGTGGTAGATGAATGGAGTCTCTTCTCTCTTAGGACAGAGATCTACTGTGCTGCTGGAATGACACATCAGCTGAGCTGCACCCCCTTGTCGATGGGGAGTGCAGGAGAGGGCAAGGAGGTCTCTGGACACCTTGTGAGGGAGGGCCAGGGGGAAAAGTGAGTGTGATGTCCACATACATGTGTCATGTGTGTGCACGCAGCTGCTGAGGGCTGGGGGACTGCAGGGAAATTTGTCAACACTGATGAATGCCATAAACTTAAATACTAGGATAGATCTAGCCCCTCTTAAAAACCCCCAGACTTTCCTTTAAAGCTGTTCCCTACCCTTACCTCAAAACTTTTTACAATAATCACACAGAGAACCAGAGACAGGGGCAACAGAAGCATCTACAACACATGCTTCTGCTGTAGCCACACATGGAACCCAGTTCTCTCAGAGTGATTCAGGTGAGGTAAGGCACATGATTTCCAGTGCTTAAACATATCCAGATTATTACAACAGGCTTGGGTTAAAGATCACCATGCATGCAGCCAGGGCAGTAGATCTGAAGAGGCAATAATATGCAGCAGGGCAATGGGGATGCTTGTGAGCTGAATAATGCTCTAGCTTTTAGCTTATTACCCCTTTTCACCTGGCCATGCCTCCAAATGTTTCAGATTTTGGACAACAGTCCGTAGATCAGTTCCCAAAGCAACAAAAATTAACACTCAGCATGAGATGCACATCCAGAAGGACAAATAAGAATGAACATCTAACAGTTGAAAAATTATTAATATTTCCCAGTGGATTGATAAAAATAACTTATGGATGTTCTTTCTTCTTTATCATAGCACCTGGTGACTGTTCTCTGTGCAGACAGGCTGCAGTACAAGGGGAACTAATAAGCACATGATTCCATGATTAAAAAAAAACCAAAACCCAAGACATGGAAAATGTGACAATTTGTTGGACAACAAGGACGTGATTCCCCACCAGCTTGCATCTTTAAAAATTATTTGCAACTGTGGGAGAGATTGAAATACCACTGTGCAAATCAGATGGTTTTAGCACTCTTTAGTGGTGCAGAACAGGAAAGGTTGTCTTGAGGGTCAAGTACTATCGATGGAGCTTAGAGAGGTGGGTTCTATTTTAATGCAGTATTGGCATCTAATTTTTCTGTGCCACTCTTTCCTACCTATAAAATGAGAGTTGTATTATTTTGCCTCCAGTGTTGTGCTTTCACATTTGCACTACAGGCACTTTAGAACAGCAACTATCTCTTGGTTATCTCTTGTAATGTCTGGGATAATAAGGATGTAATTTTGCTGTGCTGCCAAGACAAGGAATTATTCAGGAAAGTAATGTCCTGTATACAGCTTGCTTTGTTAAAATGCTCTTTACCAGGCTTCTGATCAAATTGATACTAATGAATGTTGTGGGCTGTAAAAGTGTGACTAGAAATACAAGGAGAAAAGTCACTTCCCTAGACACAGAATAGTTTTTGTTCTTTAGCTACTCCTTGGGTGCAGAGGATGATATGGGACAGGCTGCTGTTTCAGGCCCAAAATGATGTGATGGTTTATGCAGCAGCTTTCCTCTATAACTCACAGACTTTGTGAGTTAAGGACTTTGTGAACAGTCCTTGTGACAACAAGGACAGAGAAGTGAGGAACATGATATTGCCCAGTTTACTTCTAGCCTGGAGCATACCCTGGGAAATCCTCTAAAGGAAGCTGAAATGTTTCCCAGTTGTACTGGTTGCTGCAAACAACAAACCTCCCTTTCTCAGCATGAGAACCATCCACAAGTCCATAGCATTCCCTGGTAAAATGCCTCAGGTCACTTTGTGGAGTGAGGGTAAGAGGGATGGTTCCTTTGCAGGGTCCTCCAAAAACCCTAGATAGATTGTCTGGCTCCCCCCAGAGAGATTCTTCCTTCTCAAGTCCTCCTGCTGTGCCAGTCCCAGGGAGAGCACGACCCACACACTGGGTTTTATGAGCAGACGTTGCAGTGATGGTAGTGGCCAGCAGAAGATACTCTCAGAAGGTACCAGGCCAAGGGAAAGCAGAAAGTCAGTGTGAGCTTATGTGTAGCTCATACCATACAATGCTGCCTTGCCATTTGTGTGCCTGCTGCTTCTCTTCCCAACTCCATGCAGAAATAATTCATTAAAATCCACTACACAGGGTTTCTAGCTGCCTATCCAACTGGAAAGCCAGTTTGCTTTCTATTTGGTTGCCCAGGCATTTGTGCGATATCCACATGGAATTATTTTATTTTCCAGTTGATTCACACAAGCCTAAAAGATGAAGCATCAGGATCTACATTCAAACAAAAGTATTACAGGTGCAAAACTCTGAATTCAAATTAGAGGTACTGAGATAGCCTGAATGATTCTAATACTTCTTCCTTGCATATAACATTCCATTTTTAATTATATTATTGCAACCTATTTTTTTCTCCAAACTGGACTCTTGCCTCATTAAATACACAAGACTAGACCTGCTGCTGGCTTAGTTAAGTATTTCTAGAGTCCTTGCTTCAGTTGTTTCAGAGATATGAAGGGTAGGAAAGGGGAGGGAGCGGCTGTGGCTGTATCCATCTGGCCCCTAATCCTGTCTCCAGCAGTGTTCACAAGCAGATGCCTACAGAGGAGAAGGAACAGAGCAAACCCATATCATTCTTCATTCTCATCCTCTCCAAGCCTTCAGCAGTTATCAGCTCAGAAACACTTTGCTCTAGAAATCTTTACACTTGGTAACTTTCAATGGATTTCTCCAACAAAAACATCTGACCTCCATGGAATCCATATGAGTTTTTTATGTCTTCAACACTTTCACAGAAGTATTTCATATTTATTCTGAAGGATTGTCTTCAGGAATTGGAGAATGAAATTCTTACTTGGATTCTATCATTTTAACACCACTAAGCAAGATGCAATACAAGGCAACTAATTTTTTTCTCTTAGAGAACACATTTTTTTTTCCCTCTGGACACAAAGCATCTCTGGAATTGGAGTAACTTTTAATTATTTATTTCTCCTGTTAAGAATTTGCTTTATGAAATATATGGCTCTAGAAAAGTGGACATTATAGCAAATAGATAACAATTATAATGATAAAAGTTATCAGCATTTTGAGGTAAAGAATAAATTAAAATAGTCATAGAATCAGTATTTTTAGGTATAGTGTTCAAAGAGATGTAAAATTTAACAGCTACATGCAGGAGATGGACTAAACACCTTGGTATCAATGCTCTGTCTTAGAACAAAAACTCCATTTGCTTAATGCATTAGAGGAGGGTGCTTTATGTTTCATGTTGTCTTTGGTCTATCTGGATTTATTTTTGAACTCAAAGAGTGATATATGTGTTTCAGATATAACTTTTTATATTATTTATAGGAAAAAAGTTCTCTTTGTTACAAGTAAAGTATTTCAGATGACCATATATGCTAAGCTCAATGACTGTACTCAATTATATACTACAGCAAAATGTAATTATTTTGTGAAAATAAATATATACAATCAGTAACTTTTGTTTTGGCTAATTTTTTTTTTCCTTTCCCTGGGCATGGCCTGGAATGGACCTGCCCTTAGCCAGGGGACAGGCTGAGCCTGTCAGACCAGTGTCTGAACAGTAAACAGTATCTCTATTGCTAACCTTGGCCTGGCTGAGGTCCTCTGTAAATACAGCTCTGCTCAATAACTATATTCTTTATACTGTCACCTCTCTTTTGGTTCATTTATCTGTCAGCACATATAGCATTTCAGTACAACACTGGCCTCTGTTTCTTAGCACCATTCAATGTGGAGAAACTTTTCTCTGTGCTTTTGTGTCTGGATTTGATGTCACCTCCCAAAGCACCATTCAGCCACTGCATGTGACATCCTGTGGGTTCTCCCTTCTTTAATCCCTGTGGCAGGAGACTTCAAGCCTACAACAGCGCAGCTATTTTAACTCCTTGGGCAGACACAGTGAGATACATGCCCTGCATCTCTCAGCTATCTATTCACCCTGAGTTTCCTACTGTGTACTCCACTCATACCTCCCCCAGTTTCATTATTCACATAAGGCTTGTAAAATCCTGCATAGATTTGATGCCTCCTATGCTGTCTACTCAGAGTCAGTGCAGCTATCACGTTCTTCTCTTGGCCATGCTCGTGACATCATGTCCCTGCTGTAGCTCTGGGATAACAAAACACTGCCCAAGGGACTCAACAAGCTTTCAGCATCACTGCCCATCATCAAACAGTCTGTCTCCTCATTATTGCTTTGTGTGGAGCAGCAAGAGAGAAAAGACACAGAAAATCCCTCCGAGTAGTTTTATTGAAGGCTTCAAAGACAAATTACTGCTAGCTCATGAGAAAGCTCCAACACCTGCTTCAGAGAGCAGACTCTGAGGCTCAAGCACACGTTAGAACATTGAGAAGGTAAAAGTTAAGACAAATAATATACAGAAAAAACTATTTTCTCTCTTGTGTGGGACAAACCTTCTATCCTATTTTGGATGAGAACACATATGGCATTTCCTAATATTACTTTATTTCAGCTGCTAAGGCAATAACTGTCTGATAATATCAGTATTTATTACTAGCAATTTTTTCACTACGGTGTTCACTTCAGTAAGGGTGAACCGAAAGATTTTCTTCCCCACTGTAACATCTATCATATCTTTAAATGTCATATCAGTACATGAAAAAATGCCAGAAAACTCTTCAAGACAGTTGTCATTCCATGTCTATCTGATGCATATTTCTTAGCACATTCACTATCATATTTGTATACTTTCTGTTCATTTTACTCTGGCTCTGACTGAAAAAGGCAAGGAAAATCTGGATTACTGCACAGATTCAGATGGCAATATTACAGATCCGAAACTGTGCAGTATGGAGATCTCCTTCTTGTCTTGTGATCCACATGTGCAACCGGTTTTTATGATCTAATGTGAATCTCTAATCGAACCATTTATTCAATACTGTAATGGCTTACCTGGGCCTTCATGCGTACACTGATACTCATTTTTCTCTACCCTATCTCCTTCAGCAACTTGTGAATATAAAACATCTAGGGCAATGCGGTATCTATTATTAAAAAAACCCAGATTGTTACTTTTCTTCTAAGTAAATTAATATGTACACTTCTTTCTTCTACTTCAGATATCTTAAAATGTTTTACAGACAAATGTAATGGAAATAAAATGCATGCCTAGAAGAAGTTTAATACTGGCCTAAACCTATTTATGAATGTGGCTATAAAAACAAATATATATATGCATGGACAGAATATATAAATGTATCATCAGAATATATCAATAAATTCAAGCAAGGCAGGGTGATAGAAAAATCACCTGAATAAAGTATACCACATATTTTAGTCCTTCACAAAGTTCTTTACCTCTGAGAGGACTAGGAAGAAAGAAAATGTAGGTTGAGCCTTGATGCTTTAAATGAAACAATTTTTTTAAATTTCTCTGCTGTGTATGAAGTTTGTTATTTTTTAAGTGTGATGCTGAAATGGGAAATGCAGCTACATGGGAAAGAAGAATTTGTTTTTCTTTGAAATTTCCCATTACAAAGAACCAGGAAAAATACAGCAAACCAGAAATTTATCAGCTACCTTGTAACAATCAAGAAGGAACAGATGACAACATATTTTCTTACATAATACTACTGAATTAGGTGAAATAACTACTGAAAGAGAAAAAGAAATGTTGCCTATTGTCTTACAATAAAAATAAAACACGATGAAGCAGTAAGACTTCCAGATGATTCATTTTTTCACTTCAGCTCCGCATGAGACATCTGCAGGTTTTTGCCATTGTAAAAAGGTGGTCTTTACACATCTTGTACCAGCTTGCACTTCTCCCAGCCCAGGATCCACAGCAGTTTCCAGCTTCAGGCATTGCTCTAGGTTAGTGCTGTGGTTTAGACCCAGCTGGCAACCAACCTCCATGAGCCACTTGCTCTCTCTTTCAGGAGAGAACTGGAAGGGTAAAAGTGAGAAAACTTGCAGGCTGAGATAAAGACAATTAAATAGCGAAAGCATAAGGCACGCCACAAGCAAAGTGAACAAGGCATTCATTCACTGCTCCCACAGGCAGGCAGGTGTTCAACCATCCCCAGGAAAGCTCGGCTTCATCATGTGGAACAGTGACTAGGGAAGACACACACTGTCACCCCAAACATCCCCTCTTCCTCCTTCTTCCCGCAGCTCCACATGTAAGCACGGTGCTGTGTGGTGTGGGATATCCCTGTGGTCACTTGGGCTTGGCTGTCCTGCCTGTGTCCCCTCCCAACACCCTGTGCACCTCCAGCCCTCTCAGTGGTGGTGGTGGGGGGGGGGTGAGAGGCAGAAAAGACCTTGATGCTGTGTGAGCCCTGCTCAGCAATAACCAAAACACCTCTATATTATCAACACTAACTCCTAAGCCACAGCACAAAACAGGGCCCTTTTCAGTGCAAACACTGAGTACAGCACGTAAGGACGTCCCCAACAAGACAAAGATTTCACATAAAGTGCTCAGACAAAGCTGATGTTCTTTTAAGGTAGCATTGAACAGTACCATCTAGATTAGGAAATGTCATTCATTATCTCCCTAACTGCTTTGGGAAGCCTAAACCTAAGTCTGCAAAACAAGGTCATCAGGGACTGGTTTTCTTTGTTATAAAGCAGGGTAACTGATCAGAACAAATCAGAAGGTAGCTCTTATCGAGAGCTTGCCTTTAAAAATGCTAAGGAGAGTAGACGTAGAACAGAAAGAAGTAGGAAGCATCAGAAACAAGCAGCAAAAAGAATAAGGAGCATTTAGAAGTAATGGCAATGGGAGTAACATTAGAAGACTGAAGTATAGAACAGCAAGCAAGAGAACAGGAAAGAAAAATAAACTACCCAGTGAGTGGCATATCTGTGCTTTTTGAAAAACTGCACAGCTCCACGGAAGAGCCTTATGAAGTTTCCATGAAGTATAAAAGTAATTACTTCAACATAATGTAGCTTACAGACAGATAGAAAGAAACTCTCCAGACCTCACAGGATAAGGAATTTCCCACGATCAAATGTAAAAACAGCTCTGGATGCTGAAAATTTTTTTGTTCCAATTACTGAAAAGAATTAGAGATCAGATATGAGTGTTAGAGGGAACTGAGACAGTAGCAGTAGAAGTGAGCTGCCTCTCAGCCTGCCTGACCTGCACAGCTGATGGTGGCCACATGAAGCAAGACTCTGAGTCAGAAGAACAAAAAATGATGCGACACTTGACACCTGGCAAGAGGAAAAGAAGAATCCTGGAGGACCCGTGTATCCATCACTTATTCATGACACTGTGCCTACTGAAAACCATCCACAGTGGTTTGGAAATTGCAGCAAGACTTTCAGGTGTACTGGGATTTACTCCATATAACTAACAGCCATCATGCTCAACTTCTCCTGAGGGAAGGGAAAAGGTAAGATTAGGACAATTGCATAGTTTCAGAATATTTTAACACTCTGTCATGGTACATGGTTAGCTGAGATGCCAGTATGATTAAGTATGGGAGGTAAATATTTATTATACTTTATTATTTATAAATCACACTCAGAATTACATATTCCTATGGGCTATTTGCAAAATAGTTTAGGATACAAAAATGACTGACACATAGGTCCTGACAATTTCTATTGCATGTAGCTAGCTTGAAACATGGCAAAAAAATCCATGAATCTTGAAAGAATTGCTGCATCCACCAGATTATAAAGGCTAAGGAAAATATGTAGTAAATGGAAACAGTCACATGATTGGAACTTGCAAACTTTTATTTCATTTTATTTTAAAGGTATTTGCACTTACATTGTGTATTTCAGTATTTCTGCAGCACCCTTGCTGTGTTGCAACACTGGTTCATTGTTAGGTTGATGTTTATGTATTAGCACAGCAGATGAAAGAAGAATTTCTGGTCTGTTCCTTTTCCTTTCTAACTGGGATTTTGCCCCCAGGTATGTCAATTTCTTTCCTTCTTCCTAGATAGCTGTTCACATACTTTCCTCTGTATGCAAAGAAACTGCTCTGAAGTCTTGTGCAAATACAGAGGCCTAAGCATTCATAGCAGTACAAAGAGTGAAGAATGCCACTCTAAACTTCTTCATTCTTTTGTCAGTAAACAACTTTGAGTTAGCTCTTACCAGGTAACTGAAATTAACTGTTTCTGCACTACCAGGCCCTGACACTGCAATATTTATATGTATTCTTAATGTTACAAGGTGAGATGTCACATTGTCTTCAGTGGTATTCAGGTACTTAAATCTACACAAAGAAAATTTCAGGGATAAAGCCCTATTTGCAGAAACCTGGGTAGCTAATAGGATCAGCAGCTACAGAATGTCTGCCTGCTCTGCTGTCTGCAGTGAATTTCCTGGCTGATACATTTTTAATTCAAGTTGGTAAGCAGAGACAGGATTTCCACCAAGTCTCTTCTTTTTGCACTGCTCTGTGGAAAGTGAGTGATGCTAGTCCTGCCAGCAGAGCAGCAAAGTTTAAGAAACATAACCCCAGAAATTAACAAACTTGGTATTCTTTTTGTCAACTGCTTTTGTTTTGTCTTTTTGAGCCTTTGAGTTGGTGTCATCAAGCTTCTCTTTATACAGGCTGGAGTCTTAAAAGCAGACAACAGGGATTCTCGGGTAATCAGATTTAGAACTTTCAGGAATCCACTGAAGGCTAAAATAAACGACAAAGAATTGACAATAATCCATTATATTGCAGTAGAAAACTGTAGAGGACAATAGCATTTACTCAGTCCCTTTTAATAGTTCTTTTTCTGCAGTTCCTCTGCCCCTTCTGGAGCTGCTGCTGGTGTTTGTGCAGATATGCAGTGAGCCTAGCAAGTCAGGTGACAGGTTCAGCTGCAAACCTGCACAAAACAATCAGAATAGTGTGCCAGCTTTCAGCCAGGGCAGCACCTTCAGGCAGCTGCCTGCCCTGCTGCAGAGCTAATGCTACCAGAGAGCTGGGCTCTATCTGAGAGAAAAGAGAGGAGAAGGAGATCACAGCAGCCTGGAACCACGCTGAACTGCCTGAGAGGCAGATCTTCAGTGCTGCCTCATTCTCATGGATGCTAGGGAATGGAGCAAGAAAAACTATTTCAGTTTTAGGCCTTTTTTGGGTGTGTTTTTTTTTTTGTGCAAATGGCTTTTGGAAAGTATTCATAATTAGAGAACAGGATTTCTTCACAGAAGACAGCTGTCTGTTTAATGAGTTTAGCTTTTAGTTTTCTTTCTCTCTCCCCCCCTTATGCCACTTACCACTCTCAAAGGTGCTTTTCTTCTTACCTGCACTTCCATAAAAATTTACTAATGAAATCCTTCTTGAATCTTTACATTGCAGTTAAAATTTGCTAAATTCTGGAGATAGTTATGCAAGCTCCAGGCTGGGTCACTTTTCTCTGTAGGCCAGGAGGCAGCGGAGGTAGGACAGCGTGTGTTTCACTTCCTGCTGACAAGGCTGCGGCTGCCTTGTGCAAGCCTCCCCTCCTGCCCTCTGCTGAAATGGGGGCAATTTCCACACCACACCAGCCTCCCTGCTGCAGTAATAATTCTTGCAGCCAGACAACTAACCACTGTCATTGCCTCCTCAGCCTTCGTCCCTAATGGGTTTTGTCTCCTGATCTCTCACACGATTTCGCTGTACATTTTTAATAACTTATTTAAAACCTCTCTTAATGTTTCCTAAACAGCATTTCTTTGACTCAAGCACCAAGCCACAGAATCACAGAGTGGTTCAGGTCAGAAAGGACCGCAGTGGGTCATCTGGTCCAACCTCCCTGCTCAAGCAGGGTGGTCCCAGAGCCCATGGCACAGGAATGCGTACAGGTGATTCCAGTGAGGGAATCTCCAGTGAGGGAGACTCCACACTCTCTCTGGGCAACCTGTTCCAGTGCGTGGTTACTCGCACAGTAAAGAAGTTCCTCCTGGTGTTCAGTGGGCTCTTCCTGTGAATCAGTTTCAGCCTCTTGTCCTACTGCTGGGCGCCACAAGGAGAGCCTGGAACACCCTCTCGGCACTCTCCCTTAACACACTTACAGACACTGACGAGATCCCTTCTCCAGGCCCAGCTCCCCCAGCCTGTCCTTGTTAAGACTTGCTCGGCTCCCTTCACCTTTGTTGCCCTCAGCGGGACTCGCTCCGGGACGCTGCAACCCCCTAGCGGTGCGCCCCACCGGCCGGGCCCCTGCGCTCCTCAGCCGGCCGGCCAGCAGCCCCGAGGACACGGGTGTCCCCCTGTCGCGGTGTCCCGCTGTCGCCGTGCCCCGCTGTCGCCGCGCGGCCCGGGGGTAGGGGACGCGCCTCACGTGAGCGCCGTGTCCGCGCACGGCGGCGGTCACATGGCCGGGGCGCGCGGCGGTCACATGACGCGGCGGCGCCTGACGTCCCGGGGCAGCCCGGCCCATGGCGCCCATGGCCTCGCTGCTGCTCGGCGCCCTCCTGGCGCTGCTCCCGCCCGCCGCCGCGGCCGCCGCCGCCGCGCTCCCCGACTCCTACCAGGACCTGTGCAGGTGGGCGGCCGCTGGGACGCGATGGGGCGGCTGGGGAAGGGCTGTACCGGGGGGTACGGGGAGGGGGGGCGGTGTATCTTGGTGCCCGTGCCGCTCCTGCCCTCCGCGGAGCGCAGCACCGGGACTCGGCAGCGCGGGCACGGTCCCCCGGGGTATTGCTCGCCCGTCCCGGAAGGGTCAGGCCGGGAATCTCCGGGGGAAGCGGCGGCCGTGTCCCCGGGCGTGAGGCCGAGGCTGGTCCGCGGCGAAGGCGCAGCAGGGCTGGGAGCCTGAGGGGCCGCTGCCTGCGGGACCTCTCTGCGTGGGTCTCCGCAGATATAGGAAATCTGCGGGCGAGAGGATGGGTAGGCTTGCGCTCTGCAAGGCGCCTGTGGTCGGTCTAGTCTGAAAAACACAAAGCGGTGTTGGTTTGGAAGGGATGTCACTTGAGAGTTGGCTCCTTGCTAAAAGTATCACCATGAGCTATTCGGTTGCTTACAAGCGAGTTAAGAAAGCTTTGGGAAACTTAGCACGTGCAAATGGCACCATTATTCATGTCATGACATTTTTCTGCTCCAGTTTCATCCGTGAATTTATATAGCACCAATATCTCGCCAGTCTTAATTTCTTAATTATTTGGCCAGAATATGCGGAGTGCATACAAGAACATGTTATTTCAGTCAGTGTCACTGTGGAAGCACCAGTGTTGCAGGGTGAATGTAGCACTAGGGTCAGATCCCTGGAGGGAATGGGCTCTTCACCTGGCAGAATTTGGGATATGATATAATAAGCAATATGATATTTTTAAATGATGAAAAAAGGGGGGAAAATGTGGGTTGGCTTGCAAGAATAACCCATGAAGGTGGCAAAAATTGGTTTTGTGGTTTTGTCAGATGACCACCCTTATTGCAGAATCAAGGCACTATTGTGTAGCTTTTGGAGGGAATTTAGCTACTCTGATGAGTGATTTTTGTTATTGTTGTTTTTTTCCCTTTTTCTCTGGCTTTGTTGTGTGTCTATGACTAGAGGAATATTTGAGAGTCCTATGGAGAGACATGCAGTCTCATTTTGGATGCAAATTACTTCAGCTGGTTTCATTTTGTTACTGGCAATTAGAAATAATTTGCACGTAGATAGCATAATCAGCAGGTTTCCTTTTAAGATGGACTGCTTCAAAAACATGTATTTGCTGTTGTGCCGTGGTGGGGAAAAAACTGCTTTGGAGGATTTATGTCCAGTAATCCATAATGGGTAAAAGAAAAAATAAGAACTTGTGCTCTGATAGGTGGGAAGTCCCCATGGAGTTCAGTGGTGAAGTTTCTTCTTGGGTACAGTTGCCAAAAAACTTTACCAAGTGAGGAATGATGCAGGCAATGCAAACACACTACTGGTGGATTTCCCAGCCAAAAGTTACAATGTTGGTGTGCAGGACAAGTCCCTGACCAACCTATTTTTATACTGGCTTAAAGCAAGGTTTTTATTTGTTTTACAGCTGTTAAGAAAACAGCGCCCTGGGTTTTGTGTGCTGTAATAGGGCTGGTGAAACTGCAGCAGCTGTTGTGTCTGGTGTGTGAGTGTCAGAAGGTGGGCAAAGAAGGAAATTGCTGGGGGTTAGAAGGGGCACTGTCTCTCCTTTAAGTAAGAGTAGGAAAGCTGTTTTGCAGGGAGGAGGAAAGGTGTCAAAACTGTTTTGCGCAAGAACTGCGGCATGAGGCTACTTAAACTTGAGTTGGAGCTTTTCATTGTTTGTTTTGTGTAGCCTTACTGCTGCTATGCTTGGATGGTCTCGGGAAAGAAGAAAAGCTTTCATTCCCTGAAACTTTGTCTAATGGCATGGCTTCAGTCACTGATTTTGTTATGCTTTCTCCTTTGTTCTTGTGCGCTCCGACAGCTGACTGGGGCTGTCATGTGACTTGCAGTTGGAATTCTTTTTTTATCTTCTGTGTAGAGGTTTCTCCAGGATTGCTGCCTTATGAGTACCTGGGAAAGAGCACAGGGAACTGGTTGGATATAGGAAGTTACTGGCCTATATCCAACTGGTTGGATATAGGAAGTTACTAGCTTGGTCTCTCCCAGTTTTTCTTCTTCCCCTTATATATTTCACGTTACAATGCAGGAAAAATTCTGGACTCAGAGTTAATTTTGTGACATGTTATTTAAGTCCATCTACTTCAAAAGAAATCTTGACAGTTTGGGTTCACCTTCTACATTACACTGCAAAAGTTGATGTGTAATTTTCCTTTCTTTCTAAAGAAAAAGAAGAATATATTTTAAGTGTGATGGTAGAGCAGCAAATACAAACTACATCCTCTGTGAGCTGTTTCGCCTGAAAATCTATACTGGATGAGAGGTGATTTAATGACTGGTGATGTTTTTGCCCCCTTGCAAGGATAGGAGCTGATGCATAACTTCAGTGATTTTTTGACTTGTGGATGTAAGGGAATCTCAAACTGCTGAACAACACAAGACTGCTATTACACTGACTCCAAATTTTGGAGTTGTAAGTCAATTCTATTTTATGTTAGATGTGTAGTTTTTAATAACACAACTCGTACAACTGACTGTACCTACACTTTTGCTCATTCAAAACATTGTCTTTTCAGCCTTTGTTGTGAAACCACAACTGTGCTCATCTGTGCTGCTTGAAAGCCCAGGCTTGGCCTTGGTGAAGAAGCACGTGCTGAGTACAGAGAGGTGACCTTTGAGTGCACTCATTCAGTTCTATTAAGTGCTTTGACATATTGAAGTGGGAGATGTCATAAATAAGATATTACTGGACTTATATACTGATGTGAATGGGTGTGTCACGTGCCTGGGAAGCTGCCACTGTAGTGTCTGAGTGTGATTTCTCAGCACATGAGCCTCCTCCTATAGCTCTCGCTTACTTAAACTCCAGGTTGCTACCCCTTTTCTTAAGCATTCTGTGAAATGGTGTAGTAGATGTGGTTTAGAGTGCAGCATGAAAGACCAAATGTCTTCTGGATGCAAAAAGCAGAAGAGCTTGTAGTGTAACTGAGGCTTCTCATGCATGATGCACACACAAGAAAACTTGCCTGAAGATACACAGTGTGCGTGGTAGCTGGAAAAGGGGACGGGTGAGCTAGAGCAGAATTATGCACGAATAGGGATGCATTAAAAAGCTCTTGAGGCATAGTGATGGCTGTACTTTGTGCTGTTCAAGCTCTCATTTTCTGTAAGGAGAGCTTGCTTTGACATAGAGATTTCTTTACAGTACACATTTGTGTGAAAAGGCTAGTCACATTTAATAGTAATTTCTGTGGCAAGTGAGCTGCAAGCTTCAAATTTACAGTGGCCATCCTGGAAATTGTTCCTGATCTTGTCTGCCCGAGATTGTGTTGGTTGAAACTGCTGGTGAAGAGCTTTGGATACTTGTTTAATCTCTGCAGTGTTCTAATAGCTGAGAAGCATCTGGGCACAAAATCGTGCGGCTGTAATCACATGTGGATGTGCTTTCCAGCTCTGTGGCTGTGGGTTGCCTTGTCTCTCTGCCAGGTCGTCTGTACAACACCCCCTCAGCAAAATGAGCTATTTCAGTGCATTCCCCCGAGAGGGAACACATGATTCTTTGCGACTGTGCTTTACAGCCTTTGGAGCAGGGTGCGCTGTTCCTCCAGCAGTCATCCCTTGGGTGACACTTTAAGAGCCAAAAAGCTTGAACTGTTGTTGGGGATTGGTGGCAGTGGTCTCTCTGGTGCTCTGCTGATTTGAAATGGTTCCCTAGCGCTCAGGCCTCAAAGTGGCTCTGGCATTGGGATTCTGAAAAATGCATATTTTATGATTGGCTTTTCGCAAATTTTAAAATTAGTATTACATGTGTTATGTTAGAAAGTTATTCTGTATTAATTTTTAAGTTGTGTGTTAAATATAGTTTTAGGTTATAACATAAGGTTAAAATAGAAACTATGCTATGTAAGATACTTTTTTTTAAAGAAAGGACTTGCACCGAAATAGCAGCCACTAAATCTTTCAGAAAAAAATAATTTATTGCTCTCTTATCAAAAGAAATGAAATTCTTCCTGCCTTGCTCAGCCCTGAAGATGCCTTTAGGATTAAGAGGAAGAAGTTGATGATGATCAGACAGAATCCTGTGTTTGAATGGAATTTATGCATCGTGTATGAGGTGTATGAGTATGCAACAGGCTATTGTTTTTAAGGGTTAATCCTTTGTTAGCAGGTGTCCTTTTTCAGGCTTATTTTGCCCAGAAAAAGGTACCCAGATGTCTGTAACTCTTTGTTTCTATTCTGTTATATTTTCCTAACCCAAATTGTCCAAATTATTAATTACTGTAATTATATTGCTATTTTTATAACCATTTTATTACTATTAAACCTTTAAAATTTTAAAAACAAGTGATTGGCATTTTTCACAGGATGCGCTTGCTGTGACAGGAGTTAGCCTTTTGCACCTTGCTTGACTTCAGTGCCTCAGCTTCTCATCACAAAGTAAACTAGGCTTGCTTTTCCCTTTCTCATGTTATTTTTTCATATTGCTTCTTTGATTTGTTAAAAAAACCAGAGCTCTCATTTGATGTTGCAGCTTGCCAAAAAGTAGATTAATTTTCTTTTTCATATGATTGCTTCAGTGTCTCAAGAACAATGCTAGGTAGCTGAAAAGGCTGACCTGCAGGCAGGGTTATTCCCAATAACTCATTTGGACCTTGCTTGCACAACTGCTTTTGACAGTGGTCTGAGCTGGCCCTGCCTCCTTCTGTGCCTCC